TCTGGATTACAGAACAAGGTGACTTAATTAATACCCTTGAGTGAATTTATGTAAAGATAAGGTTTGAACCAGGGACTTCCTGCTCAATCCCTGAGCAATTATATTATTGATTTTAAAATACTTGGTGAGTGTTTTTAATATAATCATTTTCAGGAACCTTTTAATTATATCCTAGATGTTCTGAATATGTTTGCTGTAGTCATGCATGGCAATTGAGTTTGAACACTTCTTGTTTTCTTAAATGAATTTTTCAAAAAGATAAGTATCTTGGAGGATTCAGCCCTATATTCAGTTAATCTTTTTTAATTTTGAAATCCAAGCAGCCGCCTCACATTGTACCTATCCATTCATTAGTAGGAAGTTATGTTGAGTTGAGATGTCATATGACTGCACCAATTTATAATGGCAATCTCAGCTCTTCTTTTAGCGGTCATTAACTGAGAATTGTGGATTGTTAAGCAAGTACCCACTCTAATCCAAATCGTTCCAGGCTTGGTCCCTCCCAGCTCCATGGCTAAGTATAATAAGGGATTGATTCCAGTACCCACTACCTGCCTGTTCCCTCCAGCAAGCATTCTCTCATCCAGTTGCCTTCTCCCCAGCCCAGCCCAGCCCAGGAACACCAACAAGCATTCACCCTGCAGTCTTCTCTCCCAGCCCCATGTGGCTCTCCAGCCCAGCCCAGCCCAGCCCAGCAAGCCAGTCAGTAAGCATTTGTTCACCCAGATGCCTTCTCTCCCAGTTCCATGCACCAACCTTTTGCCTTTTGGGACCCATCTTCTCCAGTGAATGTTTCCTATTTTCCTGCCTTTTTTCCTTATTTCCAAAGGTAGTACTGTCTTTGGAAAGCTGCACTGTCTTTGGAATGCTTTGTTCCAAAAACAGCATAGCTTTCTGAAGACAGCATAGACTTTGGAAAACTGCTGACTTCCAAAGGTGCTCTGGGGAAGCAATAGTGAACTAGGGTGGACCATGGTAATAAGAGGAGCCAGTGAGTGGGCCAACTCTTCAGAACTTATCTCTGAATCAAGGAGAGGACTCACATGTTTGCTCCATATAAAGTCTGCCCACGAAGAGATCATGAAATAGAGCCCAGAGTTGCCTCTATGAGGGAGATGGGTGATTTCTAAATATAAATAAAAGTTTAAAAAATAATGATCTCCAGCTTGATTGAGAGCTCTGGGACCTGGGAGAAAATCATCCAAACCTATGTATTGTTGATGAGGAAAGCCATTCTGGAAGCATTAATACTATCTCATTTGGACCCGAGAGTTGCTTTTCAAGAAAAGATTAATAGCTTATAAATTTGGTATATACCCAACAAAGTAACTTGTTTTATATACTTCCCATAAATGTCATCTAGTTGATATTGTACTCCAGGTCATAGAACCTTTTTTGCTCTTGGAAGCAACAATTGAAAAGAATACTACCTTATATTACAGTGGGTATTTTGTTTACCGATGTCTTGTACATTTTAAGATTTTTCATCTTTAAAGGATTGATTTTGCAACAATATCCACTAATAATTCTGCATATAATTAAATATGTACTTAGATTAAATTATTTGGAAAAAATACCTAGTATCAAGTTTGAAAAATATTACACATCTGACTTCTTTTGTATGGCTTGTATTTATCAAACTTCCTAATTTCAGTCAGTGATTCAGTAAAAAATAGTTTGAATTTCAATTCCGTCTTGGAAACAAATAAAAGATCTTCAACTATCACCATGCAGAAAGTTCTGCAACTTCAGGGGAGATCTTCAACAATTCCATACCAACCTGATCCAACAATTCCATACCAACCTGTTCCAGATGGGTTCGCTTCAGGTTTGTTGGAATTATGTCTTTCAATGAGCAGTCACATTTTGATTGGCATCACTTGGGGATTGTTCTTTTATATCAATAAACATATTCAGAAGCATGTGGCATTGCAGTCAGAGCTGTATAGCTAAAGATACATATACAGAGAGAGGGAGAGACAGAGACAGAGATGCAGGTACACATACATAGCTAGATAATAGATAATAAGTAAATATCTTCACTTAATTATGTTCTTATTCAGGGCTGCAACCAACAGACCAAACATGCCTTATTCTGAAATGCCTTGAGGAAATAAATTATTCCTCCTTTCCTCCCTCTAAGTTTTCTGTGATATATTTCCATCTAGAACAATTTAATTTGAAGTTCTGTTAGCCTCGGAATTTCCCAAGCATATGAATACCTTCCACCTTGTTTCTCAGTAGCCTTGCTTTGACTCAATCTCTGTTAGCATAGGGCATGAGTTTACTGTTTAAAAAGGCATAATCTATAAATGAGAATACCATGACCCTGAGAGAAATACAACCATAAAAGGTAACGTGTGTGGAGGGGGGGTTTCTCTCTCTGAGAAAGAGAGGGAAGAAAATAACCATTACAGCCTCTTACATTGTACCTTTGAGCAGATTGCAGGGTTTTATACTTTATTACTTAAACTGCATTTATAACATGTGAAATATGTATTTTTAACACTAAAGTGTAATTTTTCAACATACTATCCAAAATAAAGTGCCAAGAAGCTATTAACTGCAAATTGAATTTTTGTGGTATGTAATTTAGTTTAAGTAGTGACAAGTATTTTTCTCTTTCTCCCCCCCCCACCCCAAGAAAGAAAGAAATCCATTAGTCATTCAGTTTAACAGCACAGAGGCAGCAGTCAGCAAGGGTGTGCATTCTGTGTCTGCTTCAATTGCACACTTCATTTATTTGAACATGGCATAGGCGGCTTTCTCTGTCATGCAGCAACACTACACTATTAGCGAGTTTCGCCCCAGGGCAGCTGGGATGCTTTGCTGGGGCAGATGTTCTTTTCAGCTTATTCACTGGCTGTTCTTGGTTGTTTACTGTTGTCATGACAACGTCTATTTCCATAGCAGCCATGTGGCCTCCTCTCAGAGACTAAGGAATATAGTTATAAAAGAATCATATTTTGCTCTGTGTCTCTTACTTACCATCTGTCAACTAACTGCATGTGATGGATTCAAAAACTGATTAAGGATAATGGCAAACCCTCAGTGATAATTTATTAGACGTAAAACTGGGCCTTATGTAAATGTCTTTGTTGCCTTCAGGGGGCCTCTGTTTTTTTATATACATATTTTTGAGCTCTATACCGATGCAGATTTTTTCTTTATTAACCCTTGCTGATGGGGGGGGAGTCCCAGAATTTATGTGCAAAGAGGTAAAATCTCTTTCAAGTGAATATCAACCTCTGTTGTATTCAGGAACACATTAGTGCAGTTTTTAACAATAGTGTCATGTATATAATTATTTAAATTATTTGGCTCACATTCCACCTTTATCACCCATCTCTAATAAATATGGCTTGATAAGACAGCAATCAATTTAGCCATTGTGCACTAATAAATTGCAGTACTGCATAGTGCAGCTCTTTTAATTTGCATTCAGACAAAAGCTAGGTGGTTAGAGGTATTAATGAAGCACATATTTCTGAGATAGCTAATTAATATGATAAGATATATCATAGCTCACAAACCTATATATACAAATGTGTGTGTGTGTGTGTGTGTGTGTGTGTGTTTGTAGGTCTTTGGTTATTCGGGTTTTCTCCCGCGTAAAGTTGGAAGTGTCTTGGCGACGTTTCGACGAAGTCCCATTCGTCATTTTCAGGCTGGTGTTTTCAGCTTTGTGCTTCGAGGAGCAATGTGTGGTCTTAGCTGTTTCTTCCTTTTAACTGCCAGTGGAGGTATGAACTGATTGGGTGGGAGCTTGGCTGTGTTCTGATTGGTCCACAGCTGCATCATTAGCCACTTTAAACCCCTCCAATCCATACATGAAGCAAACTGACACCCACCATGAAGATGAGGCATGACCACAAATGCGAAGCCAAAAAATAGCAAGGCAGCCCACCATCTAAACCCCCCCCTGCAACTCAGACTAACCTGAGCACAACAAAGCCCCCACACAAACAGAACACTCCCCCATCCAATCAGAGCACAGCCAACCCCCCATCCAATCAGAGCACAGCCAACCCCCCATCCAATCAGAGCACAACCAAACCCCTAACCAATCAGAACACATCTCCACCCAATCAGAACACAGTCAAGCTCCCACCCAGTCAGTTCATACCTCCACTGGCAGTTAAAAGGAAGAAACAGCTAAGACCACACATTGCTCCTCGAAGCACGAAGCTGAAAACACCAGCCTGAAGATGACGAATGGGACTTCGTCGAAACGTCGCCAAGACACTTCCAATTTTACGCGGGAGAAAATCTGAATAACCAAAGACCTACCTACATACATACATACATATACACACATACACACACACATACACACACACACACACATAATATCAAAAGGAAATCATTTTATGACCTAGCACAATGTGTGAAGGAAACCAGTGTTATAGGAGAGAGGAATTTGACTAGATCTCAATTGTTTAAAAAAAAACATTACCTACATATTTGAGAGGATTAAGACACATTGCAGACAGTCTCCTGGCAATTTAAAGTCTTAAAACAGCGTTTTTCAACGTTTGTGTGACGGCGACCCCGTCACACAGACGCGCCGCGCATGCGCGGCGGCACCCCCATGCGTAGCGTGCATGCACGGCGGCACCCCCTGAGGGGGGGAATGGCGGATCGCGTTGTTTGGCGACCCCCGTAAAATGGTCGTTCGACCCCAAATGGGGTTGCGACCCATAGGTTGAGAACCGCTGTCTTAAAAGAATCAGCTTTGAGGTACCCTAAGACACTGTGTGAATGTGAAAGCAGTAAAGCCTGACAGATATATCTCTGCAAAAATTAAACTACATCATAGATACATTGATAAGCAGAATTGTGACAGTATGCCCGTTCGTTTTCTGTGTTGGTATTAGGACTTTTCACCATTTTTTTGTTGTTGTTGATTTTGCTAGAGAGATTCACTTCATTCTGTCAAGTCATGGGAATGGGAATTGGCCCATTTGTAAAGTAATGTATTTATTGGTTGATTTTTCCAGATCCTGACATTGATGCTGCCACTGCCATGATGCTTTTGAATACTCCCCCTGAGATACAAGCAGGTTGTGAGTAGATATTTCTATAGCCTATAGCTCCATAGATATGTAAGCCTAACTCTCTTTCATTAGTACATAGCCTATTAGGTTTAAAAATAAAACTAGATGAAGAAATCAGATTCTTAGCTAGACCCTTACTAACTCTTTTACATAGTATTATCTGGGTAGATGTTCAGATAGGCTTCTGTGAATATTGCATAGTCACAGTTGTATATATCTCATTCATAGAAATAACAATCTATATATGCAACTGTAATTCATATAATAATAGCATGATAAGCATTTTTTTTCTTTAGGGCAGATAAGCGTTTTAGAGCCAACAGCTTTGATTTTTACTTGAATTTATTTGCGGGGATGTCTGTACAAGCATCAGGTGTTTTTAGAGATCAGAACCTGAAGCAGAAAGAAGTAAAATATATATATAGTCTACCGTAGTTACATTTGAATTAATCAGTTTTTTAAAAATAGAAAGGTGGATTTATCATAAGGAGAGCTAAACAGAGTTTAAAAGAAACAAGAGAAGCTGTAGTTTCCTAATCCAGTTATTTACTCTCATATTGGAATGTATTTTACATAGGAAAGGTTTCTTATCAGATTAGAACTTCATTTTTACCAGTTTTTAATAATTGGTACCTATTCTTACAATACAGAGCCAGTTTGGTGAAGTATTAAACATTTTAGTCACAGAACCAGCTAGGTGACTTGGGCCACTCCTTCCCTCTGGGCCTTGAAAGAAGGCAATGGCAAACCACGTTCAAAAATGCTCTCTAAAAAACCTAATGGATGTACCCCTGTAGTTGCCAGAAATCAAGTCTAACTTGAAACTAAAAAACAAAACATACAAAAAACAAAACCTCAAAATACATTTTTTTCTGCGTATCATCAGATCCAACTGTTTCTAAATCTATGTGAAAAAATAATATATGAATTAGACTCAAGGAGAGAGAGAGAGAGAGAGGGAGGGAGGGAGGGAGGGAATCTATGTATATAATTTTGTGGTTCATTATCCACCACAGTGCTTCATAGTCATTTTGTGGGCAATTATGAAGTTGTTACCAGCACATTTTAAAGCAGGGGTGTCAAACTCAATTTCATTGAGGGCCGCATCAGCATCGTGGTTGCCATTGGAGGGCTGGGTGGGTGTGGCTGGCATGGGCGTGGCCTATTGAGTGGGTGTGGCCAGCTCCATATCACTCACGTCGGGCACCTGTGCAGGCCTGGGCAAGAATGAGGCGTATCCGAGGGTGGGGAAGGGTGGGTGGGACGGGGCGAGCGCCAGGGCATGGTCCACTGGAGGAGCCTCACTGAGCCTCAGGCTGTGCACGGGGCCCATGGACAGTTGCATGGACTGCCCAGAGCCCTGGGCAGCGGAGGTCAAGTGCCCAGCCCGGCCCTTGAACTCCCACAGCACCAGGACCCCACAGCCCTGCCTAGCCTAGCCGCACTTCCCCGAGAGGGTGCCCAGCTGCACTTATCTCCTCCTCAATGCTGCTGCTGCTGTGCTCACTCTCCTTGGCCAGGTTGCTTATGGTGGGTGCAGGAGGACAAAGTGCGTGGGTCAGAGGGAGGCCCACTCCCTCTCCATGTGAGGAAACCTGGCTTTGTAACCAAAGCATCCTCAGCAATAGGATGGGAGACCACCAGGGGAAGGCAAAAGGGCAACAGGGCTGCTGGTGGCTAAGTGCTAAAGCAGGCCCTCCCTCCCTCCCTCTTATTCCAATCTCCTTCCTTCCTCTCGCCCTCCCTCCCTCCCTTCTCTCCTTTCTTTCTTTCTTTCTTTCTTTCTTTCTTTCTTTCTTTCTTTCTTTCTTTCTTCCTTTCTTCCCTTCCTTCCTTCCTTCCTTCCTTCTCTTTCCTTCTTTCCTTCCTTCCTCCCTCCCCTTCTTCCCTGCCTCCCTCCTTTTCATTCCCATCTCCTTCCTTCCTTCCCTTACTTTTTTTCCTGTTTCCCTCCCCTCCTTCTTTCTCTTCTTCTCTCTATGCCCAGGAAGGGACGGGGAGAGGTTGGCAGCACTTTTCTCAAAGAATAAGAGTTGGAAGAGACCTTTGAGGTCTTTAGTCCAAGCTCCTGCTCAAGCAGGGGACATACCACTCCAGACAATGGAATATCCAATCTCTACTAAAAGCCTCCAGTGATGGAGCATCCACAACTTCTGAAGGCAAGCCTTTTCACTGGTTAGTTGTTTTCACTATTCCTTAGTTCTAGGTTGTTTTTCTTCTTGATTAGTTTCCATCTATTATTTGCCTTCTGATGCTTTGGAAAATAGGTTGACCCCTTCTTCTCTGTGGCAGCCCATCAAATATTGGAACACTGCTATCATGTCACTACCCCTAGTCCTTTTCACTACCCAATTCCCACAAACATTTATCATATGTTTTAGCCTCCAGCCCCCTAATCATCTATGTTTACCATCCATTTAGACCAGATGGTCCCCCTGGTTTGGTTTATAGAACAGTGGCCACAAGCAGAGCCTTTTCAGAGACAGCACCCCCATTATAGAACTTTCTCCCAAGGAAAATATGAACAGTGCAACCCTCACCCATTTAGAGGCAACTCCAAACACACTGTTCAGCTAGGCATATGTAAAACAACGCATTTTATGGCCAAACAGCACTAATAAATTACTACTACTATTTTTCTTTCTTAAAATACATACTTTTAATATTGTTTTAAGCAGTGCTAGTGATGCTTTACAATAGCTGCCTTTGAGAGTTTTCTTGTAAACCACCCTGGATTTCTCAGAAGCTTTTACATTCAAATTAGATGTTGATTTAATAAATTAGGCAGAAGATACAAATGTTTAAATACATCTAAATCCCACAGACCTACTGCCTCCTAGGCCCATACTGCAGAGAAAATAAGGCATTGCATTTTTAGCCAGCATAGCCACAGGATGATGGGAACTGTGGTTCATGACACCAAAAATATATTAGTTTGGGTAAGGCTGGATTAAATTATAAAAGAGCAGATGAAGGAAAGTATTTTTGTCTCCGACAAAATAATTTGGGGGGGGGGAGTTGACTCGGCCTTTTAATTTCAACTCACACCAATTCCTAACTTCCCATTCAATCCAAAGAGTTTTATTATTGCCTGGATTTTAGGGAAAGGAGGAGGCAAGAATAGACCACAAAGCTAATCTGCAAGTTTGCTCTCTAGCCGCCTGCATACCACCTTCCCATGTATGTGTATGAGAGACAGAGAGAGAAATCCCCTTTTTGTAAGTTTGCTTACTCTGCAACTCCCTGCTGGCTCAATCTCTCTATCAAACACACACACACAAACACCACACACACATTAATAAAAAAGAGGAGGGGGAGAAAGGTGGAAGCTCTCCTTTTTTGTAAAACCTCAGCTTCCTCCTCCTCTCATGCCTCTCTCTGCGTCTCTGTCTCTCTTACACACACACACACACACACACACACACACCCTTCCTGTTTTCTCCTCCTCCTCCTTTTCCTCAGCTGCACCTGAATGGAGTGGGAGGAAGTTAAAAAAAAAAGAGAGAAGGGGTGGAAGAATGAGGAAAGCTCTCCTTTTTTGTAACACTTCGGCTTTCTCTGCCACCTCCTCTTCCACTCCTGACTGGGCCTGATGGGGTTAAGCAGGGAAGAGAGGGGCAGGCTAAAGCAAATGAGCTGCTGCTGCTGCACGCCACCAGCCCGGAGCGCTCTCGCTGTTTCGCTGTTTCCTACACATGCTCCAAGGCACCCTGCTGGGTTGTGGTAGGCCAGGGCTGGGGCAGCAGGGGCCGGTCCCTTGCCATTTCTGGGACAGCCCCGGGGGGGCCAAATCTGGGCCACATCCGGGCCGCGGGCTTGTGTTTGACATGTCTGTTTTAAAGGTATACTATTAATTACCCATCATGAGCTCCTCTCACAGTATTAAATTGGAGGGTACATCCATTGACATGGAAGCAAAGCATTATATAATAGGTGGGCAACTGAAATTTCCACCAACAATATTCTTCACTTTGCTTTTTAAGCTGTATTTTGAGTCTTTCATTAACTTTACTGGAACCACTAAAATAATAGTTATTAACTATCAAGAACTATCATAATATATGTGCTATAACAAATGGACTGGTATGCAGGTTGATTCTCCCTTTTCAAAAACATTATAAGGTAGCAGAAGCCAGCAGAAGAAGCAATGGATGGAAACTAATCAAGGAGACAACTAGCTTAGAAATAAGAGCAATTAATTAGTGGAATGGTTTGCCTTCAGAAGTTGTGAGTGCTCTATCACTTGAGGTTTTTAAGAAGAGATTTTGAAGAAGAGGCCACTTATCTAAAACGGTATAATTTTGTGAAATTGGTTGGGCAAAGAATAATGCCTGGTCCAAGGTCATCCTATAAGCTGTATTTCTTTCTCCTAGTCCATCATGACTTTCTCTCACTGATTTTGCCTTAAATCTATAAACAGATTTTCAGAATGGTAAAGAATGATTATTAATAAAACAGAAATTAAGTTGAATATCAACTTAATCAATATACAAAGGACCATATCAGAGAATAAAAGTGTTAATAATAAAAAATATTCCATAATAAATCTGCCTTTTAAAATGTCATAAAGAAAAAAAAGTATGATGACAGAAGCAACTGAATAAATTGTGAAATAAATCAGTGAAAATATGGGAAAGGATATAACAGTGTTTTCACTCTGATATTCTTTAAAGTAAACATATAAAGTATATTCTCTATTGGACTTTTGGTTTGCCCATTAATAACGTTTGCAAGGACAGATACGAGCATGCATGTATGTCCAATAAAATATGTACTAAAATTGTGCCATAATATTCAGATAAAAGTTTTAATGGTTTTCTGACCTATTTTTAGGTAAAGTTTAAATTATTGCTTAGTACAGATTACATCTCTGTCCCTTTTATGGATTCAGAAGGTAAAGGTAAAAGAAGAACCTCTTTCAACCATCATGGTTAATTCTGCAGTGGGATTCTTAGTGGGATTCCTAATGATTTGAATAATGCAAAATCAAAGTGTGGAATATTTAAGTT